TCTCACTGCTTCAACTATGCTTATGCACAGTCCTCTGATTCATTTTATAGAGACTGGCAAAAAATGTCCCAGGTTTACTACGTGGATCAGAACACAGAATGCGTTTAAAATAAAAATGGAATTAATCAATCTGAAATAGAAATACTGAGATAGCCCAGCCAAGGAATCTGTTCTCTCAGCCACAAAAACCTGTTATTGCTTGTGTGGACTAATTTAAGTGCATTCTTTTCAGCTTCCTTAAAATTAAGCTTTTCCAAATTCACTAACCCCAGCCAGCACAATCCACTTATTTGCTTTCATGCATGTCACACACACTATTATCCAGCTTTGCTAGCAAAGAGAGTCTGAAATCTGAGCATTTTCTGATGGTTGTAGGTACAGCTGAGTTTACTGAGAACAGGAAAACCAGTGAGCCTGCTTGGAACACGGACTGCAGCTTTGGAGAGTGCCTTGTTTCATAACAAACCCTGCAAGGACCAACCCAGCTCAGCTCCAACCTACTGCAGGGCATGAGAATAAACTGCTAAACTCAGGTATAGCCAACACCTAAATTATGCAAGTCTCGCAGGGCTTGGTGTCTTCCTTCAGCAGAATCAAAAATTTGCAAATAAATTTCAGTTTTCATTTAAAAAACTTAAAGCAATTTCTGCCTTCTTGTGACTATCAAGAAAAGTTATAAAATATTTAGTAGATGCACCCTAAAGGCTCAAAAACCTGGGAGGGAGTAAGAAGAACCTGTTTTGTCTTTTAAAAAAGTCTCATGACTTATAAGGTGGTATCTTGCTTTTGGGGATGGGCGGATCAGATTAATTTTTTGATAGCTTGCATTTGGCAGTAATGTTAACTTTTACTTACCCTGACATACAATTTTAATTTTTACTTTCCTACTGCAATCATACTTTCCCCCATTTTACAGGTTCTGCTAGTGGCAGGTGATTGCCAAATATTTTTTAGAGGGAAAAGGGAGTGCAGTTGTTTATTTATTTATCTGAACTCCAAGTGGGTGTGGAAGGATGGCACACAATTTCCACAAAGAAGAAGAACCTGAGGTGGCACACTTTTGAAATTACTTGTTTTCTTCTGCTGCAGAAACAGGAGGAGATACTGCAATGCATGGGCATATGGGAATTCTCCCACAACAAATGAGACCCTATTTTGCTTAAGTTCTTACTTCACCCAATTCAGAGGGCTTCTCCCTCAACCTCAATAGCCTACTCTGTCTCATCATTACAAACAATAACTGCTTGTTTCTTTGCAGCATGGTTTTCAAGAAGGTTTTATTGTATGACGATGCATGTGAGAAATTTTGTTCAATTTAGACCATAAAGGTTTTTGTTTTCAAACACTTCAATAGAGTTTCAATTGTTAAAGACTTCCCTTCTGAAAAGGCTGATTAACCTGCTTATAATCCTACTTGTGTTCTGAGGTCATTAATTAAAAAAATAAGCAAGGATGCTTATAAAGTCCTCTGCAATCCAATCTCAATTTGTCATCATTAATTAGATCAACATTGCATACAAATGAGACTTAACCTGATTAGACAGCATGTTTTACTGGAATTCCTACTTAAGGTCATGAAAGACTTCAGAGAGAAAATTTGCAGTTATTTTCAAAGTGAACGGCTCATACATATGGAATCACCCTGTCACCTAGCCTCAGCTAGTGTTTCTCTTTGTAATTTTGGCCTTTTTTTCTTCCCCCCCTCCCCCCTTTAATTAGGAGTCCATCACAACCCCAAGCACAGAAGCTGTCACATTCCCTCACAGCCTATATTACACAAATGCTGCTGATTTTGCAAAGGGTGTCCACCGTCCTAGGACAATAAGCGCCCCCCCCCCCCGGCAGACTTTGGATGAGAAAAAACAATACCAAAAAGTTTCAAGAAAAAACAAATTATACCAGGTCTGTTGACAGAAACATAGTATTTAAGTAACTAGCAAGTAAACTCTCCACTTTCCCCACCTCCAACAGAAATAACCTTGGGATCTAAATACACAAAGTAGCTTAGAAACCTGAAGCACCTTCACAGGTCTGCAATCACTCCATGAAAGCAGCTCTTGGTTTTTGGAGAAATAATCCATTCCTCTTACCCAGCTCACTGCCTTCACTCCCATGACCTAATCTGACATGACTCAGCCCAGAAGCTCTGGTGAAGCATGCTGTTAGCCAGGACAGCAGTTCCACTGCCAGGCACCACCAACCCCTTCCCAGAAGGACAGAAGGTGGGTCAGACCGGCTCATCCCCTCCATAAAGGGGGAAAGTCCAACTAAATGGATTTCCTCACTTAATATTTTTATCCGGGGAACTGCACAAGGGAAAACAGGGAAAAAAAAATAGAAAACTAAACCAAACAAACTAAGAACAAGGCTTTCAAGTTTTGGACTCTTAATAAGGGTGGGGCCATCAAGTAATTAAACTTTTAATAGGTCACTGCAGTGGAAGAAACTCTTCCAGTTGGGTAAGTTCCTAATCCATCATTAAAAAAGACGACAGGCATTAATCAAAGTGTATGAAGTCACACGGGGGGGAGCAACTACAAGAACTTGCTCTTGCTGAGAGGATGGGGCAATCGTTCCTCCTTTCATCAACATTTCATGCGTGTTTCCACACTTCTCAGGACGACAGTGGGAAGGAGAGCCTTCACGTCCCTCCCCACCCACCCCACTGATAAAGCTGTCGAACACAGATTACCAACTGCTCAAGAGCTCATGTGAAATGAGTTGGTGGATTAATTAGCAGAAGGGCAGAGCTCCGAAGATGGATAGATGCTCTACTTTGCAAGGCGTATTGATTGAAGGTCCCCAGCCAGCCCCACAGGACTGGCATAATCCAGTGTGAGCATACAGCACACTGCCAGCTCCTGCACGAGCAGCTCAATCTGGGTCACCTGGATTGGTCACAGCTAATGCAGGGGCACCTGGACCACACGCTCTCCTCCCTTATCAGACAGCTGTTTAAGAGCCCATTCCTTTAGTAAAACACATGGATTTAGACCCGAACAGACTGAAATGTGCATGGGGAGTACACCTTCATCTGCTGGTCCACATAAGGGCAATGAAATAGAGGGAAGGCTAAACGAGCCCTTCCACAGGCTGCACACATCGGATGACTGTAGTCATCAGAAAACTTTTAGAAATTTTATTTTTTTTCAAAATCAGCATGTAATCTGAGCTTTGACCACTATCTAGATCCACATTAAAATTCAGCCCTCACTTCTACCCCAAAAAGCCACTATCACTGAGGTGAAACATCTCACTTAAGCTTGCTAGTAGCTCTCCTGCCTTCATCGCTGCTGGAACAACCTACTACATATGTTCAAACCTCATTTCAAAAGACTGCTTTTCGCAGTTGAAAGGAGAGCATCAAACACCTTGGCTCTTAGCAGCTGCTTTAGATAATTCTTTGTACTGTATGTATCAAAAGAGAACGTCTTTTCATACCTCCTTCAAAGGACCCTCTCCAGAACAGCTAGCAAAAACCCAAGCCAGCATTTTCCTGCCCTGAGAAACGCAAAGCAGAACTGACCAACAGTTACCCTCCTTACCTAAAGGGAATTGAAAATAAATACTGTGTGTAGCGTAATAGAAGAAACAAGGACATGAAAACAAGTGCGAACTACAGCAGAGCATCACTCCCCAGGCTGATGAGTAAAATATGCAATTTCAACCTCACTTAAAAATACCTCTTTTATGCATAAACAAATGGAAATGTGGTTGTGACTGGGCCTATCACATTTTAACCTCACTTAACACGATTCTCTGAACAAAATTATTAATGTCTGTTCTAGACAAATTTTACCAGAAAAGGCTTTTAAAATATAAGGGATGTAACCTTATAGTGATCTGTGGCAATATAGCATCTTTTTCCAGATGAGAGCACAAGGGCTCTGATGCTTTGCTGGCAGCAGTAGCTGGGAGTTTGTTTTTTAGTTGCATTTGCAGCTAGATTGTATCTGAGATCAAAGCAGTTCCTCAGATTAAAAAGAAAAAATAAAAAAACCCACACCGTTTTAATGCTCTTAGCTTTTGGTAAAAAGTCTATCTTTTTTTTGCTTAAAAAAAAAAAGGAAAAATTAAGTCCTTGCTTTTATTTGGGTAGCATGGGGCAGGACATTATTCACTGCACCTACTCCAAGTGCCCACAGGAAAGGAAGGCAAATATTGAACATCTTGAAGATAGCAATATTCTCCATTGTAAACATCTTTGTGCTAGAGCCCTACACCACAACAGCTGGACTTCCAGCTCCAGCAGTGCCGAGTCCTGAGCTATGAAGTCTCTACAGCTTGAACAATCAAGCCAGCACCACCAAAGATCAAGAGCTGGGCTTCAGGTTTCAAGCTTCTGCATTTTTTTGGTAAGAAAAGTAGTGTTCTGACAGCAAAGTGTTAAATAAAAACCCCAAAACACCAAACCAACAACGAAACTCCACAATAAAATAACCCCACACCCTTCAACAAAATCCCAAACAACACACAGGGCTGACCCGAGCTGGTGATATACTGGGGTTCCCATACCAGCTGCAGGACAGGGACACAGAAAATGACAGTCACACACTGCATGGGTCTGAGCAAGGAGCACCACCTCCACCCTGCTGGCATGGCCCTGCATGCCAAACCTCATACAAACCCACAGATGTTGAAGAAAGCCAAGGGAAGCACTGAGGCAATGCTAATGCCCACCTCAGGTTTTACTCCAGTGCTCCTGCTGGGCCCAAAAAGAGAGCCACTTGGTCATCATGCATGGTCTCTATGTGACTGGTTTTTTGCAAGGCATTTTAGTCTCCTGGGATTTAGTGATATTACTGAGGGTTAAATTCCCACCACACCCTCTCAGAGCAACATCAAGATAAATGTCTCCCTTCTGTGTGACACATCACGCCCTGCAGAGGACTCGGGTCACTTTGTTCTTGCACAAGCCTGGGTATGTATGACATGAATAAAGTCACTATGGGCAGGGGGACCAAAGTCAGCGAAGGAGTGAAGGGATGCTGTGTCCTTACCGTCCATGTTGCTGACTTTGCTGTGCTGGACTGTTGAAATGATACATCGAAGCTGTGAGGTCCTGGATAGTCTGTGTTGGAAGGGATGGCTGGGGAGGGAGAGAGGGCGTCAAAAGTCGAGCTGGGCTGGGCGTAGGGCGAGGGGGCCGTGACGCTGTTCTGCGCATGCTCCGTGTTGTAAGGGCTGGTGGAGGAAGAGCCATTCTGGATCTGCTGGTCCATGCTGTTCAGGAGCCCCAGGTTCGTGTACTGCGGCTGCAGGCAAAGAGATGCACAGGAGCGTTACAGGAGCTGTATCAGCACAGGTGGTCAGACATGGCACAGCCTCCACCATGGAGGATGCACAGCATCATCTCAGCACCACTGGTGTCACACCAGGAGGGAGATTTGCAAAGGATATCCCCCTCTTTACACTGGTGACTGAAACAGAAAGGAGTACAGCTTCTCACAGTCACACACTGGCTCAGCAGCAGAGCTGGGAAAAGAGCCTGTGCATAACCAGTAGGTGATTTGCAGAGCAGAAAGCCATCACAGGGAGACAGGCTCGCTATGTCACACACAGTCAGACCTTTTCAGAGGTACTGCTGCAACCTGGTAAAAATCAGCAGGTTACTACAGCGCAACTGGCTCTAATGTCTACAAGGCTACACCATCTTCAACAGTCTAATGCTCTCCACAAAGGCTGTGGATCTGATCCTGCCACATAGGATGATGCTAGGACCTTGGGAAGTAACTGCTGAAATGTGACTCACTGGAAAAGCGGTTAGTTGCCACCCGCCTATCTGTACCACATATTCAACTGCCAGTGACCAGTCACAGATGGTGGTAGAGAATTAATGTTCTCATCAAGTAAAATGGAAACAGACAGCATGGAAGGTTTCTTCCCATGCTTAAAAACTATCAGTGGCACAGCTAAGTGTAGTTAACTAGTAGTAGTTCACTTAAAGTAACTAAAGTAGCCTTCAAGTACAAACAATTTGTGAAACAACTGGAAGACACCAAAACCAAAAACCTTAGAGAATAGAGTACAAAGGCAAAGGTTAGATTAAGGAGAGGTTAACAGAAAAAACAAATCTAATACCCTAAATTCAATGTTTAGCTGAGGTCCCCCACCTCAAAGAGAGAGGGGAACACAGTTTAGAGGAAAGTGAAAAGAATAAGCAAATCCTGTTAACGTCATCCCGTAATGTAGCACTAGATGACAACTCTTCAGCCTGGAAAAAAGTCAATGAGGAGAAAGGTGGAACTCAATATGATAGAAGGGGATAAATTCCTAGACAACATAGAAAAAGGGCAAAAAATTACAAAATTAACTGTCATGTTCTCTTAAAAGAGGAGTTGGGGAATAAGCAAACATCTTGAGCAGAATTTTGGCTTAAATACACCATTTATTCTTCACAACAGAGTTATTCTTCACAAAGCCTACAAATAAACATGGATTGTTTTATTTTTTTTTTGGCCACAAAATGACACAATACTAAACACCTAAGTTCAAAAAGGCAGGAGACAAGTTCTGCTTGAGAAAAATCCACCAAGACAAGTGTATCTGATTTTAAAATTCTGAACTACCAACACTCGGAAGCTAGGAAAGTATTCTGGAGAAAGTTACACAACTGCCAAATGTTTTTAATCCTCCAGAGGACATGGCACTGGCCAGTGACAGAGCAGCAGACAAGTGGGATTCAGTCACGTACATCGGGTTCACAGCTTCATCCTTGTGTGTGTCCAAAGGCATGCAGCATCCCAGGGCATGCAGCATCCCAAAGGTTTGTGGTGCCCATTCCCAGTAGTGCTGGGCTCAGCCAAGAACATGCAGCAATAAAGGCACCTAGTTCTGCTGTTTGCTGCTGACACAGCAGAAGAGACTCAGGCTCTTTCTCTCATCCAAGGCTCTGAGCAGCTCATGTCCCTCAACATCCTATAGCTCCAGCCCCACACAGAGTGATCAAGCTCACCTATCTGTCAGTATTTCAGATAGTCTGCTCACAAGTTCCCTCATCCTTCCAACAGTTATTCCTCTACTTATCAGCCAAGTCTCCCTGAGTCAGAGCACTAACCACAAGATTTATAACAAAAAAAAAAACAAAAATAAAAAAATCTCTTTCTCAATACTGGGAATCCCAGCAGCCTTACTGAAGCTTCCAGCAGCACATCACCCCTTCAAAGGCCAGAAAGGGAAGGGCACAATCTATCTGCTGAGCTCCCCTGGGAACTTTGGATAAGCCATTTAACACCCAGCTTTACAGTCATTTCAGCCACAGAGGAAAACAGGATAGTCCCTTTGAGAGGATGAAGTGTCTTCCATGAGCCCGAAGATTTCACTACTTTCAGCTACACTTCAGAATGAAAGTAGAGAAATTTAAACCACCCACTGCAGCTTTTCCTTAGGTTTCTGTTTCACTAGAAGAAGCTAATATTTTCTGGAGGTTTTATTAAACACTCAAGGTGAGGCTGGTGCTCTAGGATCTTCAGTAAGGTACATGGGACCTTCCTGAGATGGATCAGCTTGCTACCAGGAGCTGTGCTATGAAGGTCTGGGCAGGGGAGAACAGCACAAAAAACTTCATTTTGGAATCTGGGATAGGCAGCAGAGGGAAGGGAGAGTTGGTTCCCTCCCTCCTTGTCAGTGACTTGCTGTGTCCTTGGGCAAGGCACCTCTCCTCCCCCTCCACCCTCACCCTACTGCAGGCAGCAAAGGTCTGCAGGGCAGGGATTGCTCCTCACCATATAAAAAGCCCTGCACTTAATGGGCCTCCTTTGTCTCAGGCCTGCAGGCAGCAGAGTAATAAAAGCAATTACATATTGAGTCCTAATCCTGGGTGAACCAGTGACTCAGGTTAGTCATTTTCCCTCCTTGCCTCAGTTTCCCCCTCTGGAGCAGTGTGGATGTTATTAGTGCCCAGCACCCCTGTTAGATGGGAGAGTTTGTATTTAATTGGACTCAAAGCTAAATAGTTGATGGGGGAAGAGAGCAATCCAGACTGGTTCTTCCTCTCCGAAAGGAGATTGCAGCTTTGGCAACACAGATGACAGTTATGTCTCATCTCCTGCAGGCTATTCACTCAACCAAGACCTATTTAACGGACTTTTGGAACATGTCTTCCCTTGAGGCTAATTCCTTATGGAAAGAGCCAGAATTCTGACATACTGTACCAGGAAGAGTCTTTTACCTGCTCAATAATTTTGCATTTCATCAAAAAACAGACCTCCTGCCCCAGAATATCCTAGTGAGACCTGAAGACTTCTCAAAAATGTAGAAGTATCACTCAATTGTTTCATCCCTCATGGAGATTATAATCAGACACACTCCCTAACCAGCAAATAATGAGAAGACAGCTGTGATGAAAACAGTCTCCTACACCAGCTCAGACATACAGACAGTAGAACAATAGTGTTTCAGCTTTCACTTAAAAACTATTTCTCTAATCCCAGGCCACTTAAAGCTAATGGGGAAAGATGGCCAAACAAGCGGTCAGCGTTAACAAGACAGCACAGCCTGGAAGTGCTGAAGGTACTGCCTGGGATCCAAATAAACAAAAATAATAAAATAAGTGCTCCATTAAAATGTAAGATATCCTTAAGATATTCCAAGATCCTTTTCATTCCTTTCAGTCCAGGGACCATCTGTCTAAATGTTATCAGCAGAGCAGCCATTCCACTGCATTTATACACTCACATGCCACAGCCGAATGCCGTGTCCCCATTTGCTCTTTAAATAACTATTAATCTCCTTGCACTTATCCTCATGCTGACACAAGCAGCTGTTGGACTCTCCTTCTGCCGCTTCGAGTCCCGCCAGCCTTTCAGCTTCCCCGGCCCCTGGGTCCCCTCCCCAGGCAGGTGCTCCATCCCGGTGACAAAGCCACCAGGTCTGCACACACGAGCACTAAGCCCGGTCTCGAAGCTATGCCCCAAGGCAGGCGCGGAGTTGTTTGCGCTCAAGGGGTCAACACCTGAACTGCTTGCAAGGTTTTGGAGGAATCTGATAAGGCTTCGGGAGGCACACGCCTTCTGACAACAGGACAATTAGAGGGGCAGCAAGCCCGGGGAAGGCACACGCAGGAATTCAGCCCCTTGGCCCCAGCAGCGCTGGGGATGGGGAGAACAAAGGGAGGCTGCAGACTGTCTGCAAGGTATTGCCCCTCAGGAGAGGGCTGCAGGGCGTGTGTTTGCACACACACCGCTTCCTTTCACAGTCCACGAAGAGGAACGCAACAGCATTTAATCCAGAAATTAAAAATTGGCAGGTTGGGAGCCCAGAATTTAACACATGCTGGTATTTTGCCCCGGGGTCGTTTTAAATGACTGAAATGTAGCCCGACCACCGACTCCTGATATAAAGAGAAAGCTACTTGGTGGAAAGAACTGAATTGCATATAAAGCCGAAAGAACAGACTATCTAATTTTCAGTGCTTTTTTTTGCTATTTTGTTCTCTCCACCAAGTTTCTGAAACTATTAATATCACTGAACCATTACAAAAACCTTCAGGCAAGTCTAACTGCAAATATCTAGAGAGCTACAATTAGATCTTAGACTATGTATTTCCGAACATCATCTCAATAATGCATCTTGAACCATCAGTTTCGCTTCCTATATCCCAATCAACTTCACTTTCAGGTTCTCATGCTTGTGGATTAGGAGAAACATGGTTCTGCTGGCGGGGTTGCTGAATTAAAGCCAGAGTGCAAACTGCAGGTGGTTTAAGCACGGTTCTGCTGCCGGGAGGGTGGATCTGCCCCGGGAACAGGGGGACGAGGTAGTGCAGAGCCTGTAGCCGGCGGGTCCGGGCCACTTGCCACCAGAGGGCAACGCAAAGGCTGCGGCACGGCAGAGCCGCAGGGGACGATGCCCAGCCCACCCAAACTGGGGCCCTTCTCACCCTGTCTTGCAGCAAGAACCCACCCCTGGCTCTCCGACTCAAAGCCCATTGTATTAATTAATAAGGTTATGAGAAAAATCTGCAAAAAGACCATCCGTTGGAAAGGAAGTAAATAATGCAAGTCATGAAAAGCTCTGAAGGGGACTTCCACACCAAAAACCCCCTAAAATACACAGCTCCGGCTATTAGCTACCCAGCTAGCAGCGTTTCCGAGTTTTGAGAGTTTCTCCACACGCAAAAATAGACAAAAAGTTACCATCTTCAGGTGTAGAACACCTAGATGCCTCCACCCCTACCAAAACCCTTCTCCCTAATACCGAAAGAACAAGCACTACCATACGCACCGATGGACTGCATTTTAATTTTTACCACTAG